TTTCATTACACTGCTGGCATTATAACAGTTTGTATCCTAATATTTTATGTATATATGTGCAATATTTCAGCTATACTGTGAGATAATATGCTACTGTGATTTGGCCTGATGGCTGTATCAGCATCAACCTATTTATATAGAGAAATATCTTTCCTAAATTCCAAAGGATTGATCAGCAAACTAATAGCTTGAATCATACAGAATTGCCATTTTGTGGGTCAAAGTGATTATATAGCAGTAATTTTATATGGTTCTACCTCACAAGTTTTCAAATGCAAACTTGATACAAACTGAATATTACCAAATACTTCATTATTCATTAAATGTGGCAGGCTATAAGCCACTGGAAAATGGAGTCCAGGGGACTGCAAGAACCATTAAGACATGAATCTTAATTAAACTTTTGCTAAATTTTGCAAATAAGGGCCACCTGTTAATTGTAGCAAGGCACTAGACAATGGCACCTTCCAGGCTTGCTTGCCTCTGGTGGCTAGTGCTCACCTCTGCTCTATGTCATGCCCAAGAGATCTTGTTCCACCCTTTCCAGTGGTCTTGGGTATGACCTACCTCTATTGTTCTGGGATCCTACTGCCAGACTGGGTCACAAGACATCAGACACTTGAAAAAGTACTCTTTCTGGATCTGATTAAATGTCTTCTTTCATCCAACACCCCACACTCATATTTACTTTATGTATTCATCAGTTTTAAAAAAATATAAGTGACATCAAGGGGTAATTATGGAAAAATTACATCTAGAGACACAATTGATCATTTTTTAGTTGGCCAAACTCTCCCCTGCTGCTCAGTACCACTATAAAGACTTACACCAACTACTTGCATCTCCCTACTGCCCCTAGTGTGTTATAATGGTTTTTAAAAGATGAATGTTTTGCATTATAAATTGGCTCTTATTCTGTGCCCATAACTGATAAAAAGTCTTTTTAGAACAAAGTTATGAAAATAAAGAGCAGAATGACTCAATAAATAACACCTAAAAATTATTCATTCAAGCCAAAATTTTCTTAAAAATAATGATATTCTTAGTAATGAACTTAATTTTATCATAATTAATGAATGGGTCCCTTAAAGGACATTCTTTCTCTGTTTATATTATCTAAATCTAGCATGGCATCTTCAATAAAGTAGTGGGACAGTCAATAAATATTTAAGGAAGGAAAGAAGAAAGGAAAGAAAATGTGTATTTCCTTATGTAATTGATGTAACTAAACTTGAGAATATTTTATACAGGAAAATAAGATGCAAAATGGGAAACAAAATATTATGTTAAGGGGCCCCATGAATTTTCAATTTTCAATAAATTGAAAATTTGGACTCTGGGTTTCCTTTTACTTTTCAGTTTTTAATCTGTGTCCTCTCCAACTGCCTATTTCTCATCCAGGAATGATGATAAATGTACATAATCTATGAATGATATCTGGAATCTGGTCATTATCATTCTGTATGCAATAACTTGCTTAATTCTTTTCTATTATAATATTTTCTAATGGTTAATTCTTGTGAAAAACATAAGTGATGAAACTACACAGAAAAAAAAGTTATCTGCATTTATATTTCTTCTGTGAAGCAAGTCCAGATATCTCTATCCCAGCGCATTTTTTTTTTTCCTGTAGTGAATTGGTTTTCAGACACTTCTGTCCTTCCAGTTTCATCCAGTAGTTTTTGCTAGGAACTTGGAAACTTAAATGACAGCTATATTTCCACTTCCTTTAAAACATTTTGTTTCCAGTACATATCACCTCACAATGTGTTCCCTCATGGCACATTACAGGATCATTAAATTAAAAGTGAGAGGTGTGGTTGATGATTGACTGCTCTCTAATTACCCAGAGTGTTTGTCAAAGGCAGTAGGCAGGAGATATAAGCTCTATTTTGCTGTTGCATTGATTGTCAAGGCTACAGAACATCTCCACTAGCATAGAAAACTTTCCCAACAAGGATGTTTAGTGGAACAGACCTTCCCCAGTGGAATAAATTCCCTCCCCATCAGAATAAACAGTGAAGAAAATGGTCTTGTATCAAAATGGGTTTGTCCCATCCCTTCAAAATAAGAAACATCAAGAATCAGTGTTTCTCGACCTTCTTTTCATTATTGTAGACTTTTAGACCTTTTTCATAATAGATAGCCCATTAAACTATAATACCTTAGATATACTGTTTATCTGCTTATGTACTGTGATCCTTTGGAGGACTACTGATATGATCTAGACTTGTGTCTTCATCAAATGTCATGTTCAATTGTAGTCTCCAATGTTGGAGGTAGAGCCTGGTAGGGGGTGGATGGAACATAGGGGTGGAATCTCATGAATAATTTAGCACCATCCTCTTGGTCCTGTTCTCATGATAGCGGGTAAGCTCTCATGAGACCTGGTTGTTTAAAAGCGTGCAGCACCTCCCCCTTGGTTTCTCTTTCTCCTTCTCCTGCCATGTGAGACACCTGGCCCCCTTTGCCTTGCACCATGATTGGAAGTTTCCTGAGGCCTCTCCAGAAGCAGAAGTAGCTATGCTTCCTTTACAGCCTGCAGAGCTGTGAGCCAATTAATCCTCTTTTCTTTATAAATTACCCAGTCTCAGGTATTTCTTTATAATAGTGTGAGGATGGACTAATACAACTACAAACCACTGTAATATGTCAAATTTTTTCTCACGACCAAGAAAAATTTGCACCCTGTTGAGAATACATATCTTGAATTATGCTTCCTAGCACATGCTGATTGAATTCAGGTGATGTTTCACCAGTTAAAGAGTTCTGTATGTGAAGCCACACTATTCTCCTGAAGTATACAACTCAAAAGAGCGTAAGATAGAAAATGATTATTTAGTAAGTCACATATTGTCAACCAACAGGTCAAATCTCATTCATTTTCTAAAAATAAGGAAGCCTGCTATAATATTAAGTAGTATATGGTTCCCAAGTCAAAATGGTCTTCAACTCAAAAATATCCTACCCACATATGCAAACTCCTCCACTTACAGAGAGAGCGGCAGGCTTTGCTCCCAGAAGGGATGAAACTATGAGCTTGCAACAGCTACCACTTCATGAGCTTGTTTATTAGCACACATTTATTGAGCTCTGACTACATAGACTTTCAGCTTCACAAGAGCATGGATTGTGTTTGGTTTTGCTCCATGTTGTAGGATAAAAGAAAGAAAGAAGTGAGAAAATAAGGAAATGGAGATAAGGCACTATGCTAAGTGACTTGAACACTACCTCTAAGAATATTTTATTTAGTGTGAAGATACAAATATATAAACAAATAAAATGAAGTGTTACAATCATTATAAATAAAAATGTATACATATATAATCAAATTACAAAGCAATAGTTAATTCTATCTGGTTGGAGGTCAAGGGCAAAGTGAAGTGGGTTACAAAAATGTTTATGGAGACAAGACTGCATTAGGACTTTTGTGAGTCCTAAAACACTCTTGCCTTTGTGGTCCCCTTCCTCCATAGAAAACATGTTTAAAAATAATAATTATAGTACAATGAGATGAGTATAATTATCTGGGTGTTCTAGAAGCACATAGCCTGAATGTTTGGCAAAGACTTCCTGAGATCAAAATGTTCACATGACAAAGACCCTAAGAACAAGGTACAAGACTGGCTAAGAGGTAGGGTAGAGAAAACAGACTGTTCAAAAGCTTGGAAGTGAGAGATCTATGTATGATTGGATGGAAAAGAGAACTTGTGAAAGATGAAGTTAGGGAGGAAGGTGGAGGTGGAGGGGGCGTCAAACTTTAGCAGGCCCTGCGTTAAGGGGTCTAGCTTCAGCCTAAGGATAATGAGAAGCCATTTAAAAATGTCTACATTAGGAACTAACACGACCAGGTTTACGTCTGCCGAATCCTACTCTGTTACCTGTTGCTGCCACAAACTTAACAGCTAAAAAAGATATGCATTTATCATCTCACAGTGTCCATGGTCAAGAGTCTGCGCACAGCCGAACTGGTTCTTCTGCTCAGGCTGCAAAGTGTAGGTCAGATTGCATTCTCATCTGGAGATTTAAATGGGGAAAAAAATCTGCTTTCAAGCTTACTTCAGTTGTTGTCAGAATTCATTTCCTTGTTGTCAGACTGAGGATCCCAGCTTCTTGATGGCTGTTGGCTGGAGACTGTCCTTGGTGCCTAGAGGTCACCAGCAATTCCTAGAGCAAGCCTGTCTAACCTGTGACCTGCAGGCCACTTGCAGCCCAGGACAGCTTTTTAGCTCGTCAGCTATTGCTAGTGTTAGCATATTTTATGTACGACCCAAGACAATTCTTCCAGTTTGGCCCAGGGAAACCAAAAGATTGGATGCCCCTGTCCTAGAGACTGACTACAGTTTCTTTCACATGGACTTTCTCCACATGGCCACTTATTGAATCAAGCCAGCAAAGAGTCTCAAAAACAAATCTGCTAGCAAGACAGACTCAGATATAATATAAAGTAAGTACAGGAGTGAGACATCTCATCACTTTTATTGTATTCCATTCATTAGAAGCAAGCCACAGGTACCATACTTACTGAAGCGGAGGGAATTATATGAAGGTGTGAACACCAGGACATGGGAATGATAGGAGCCACCTTAACGTCTGTCCATCACACTTTTCCTTCCTGACTACTTAAAGGTGTATCTTCTGAGAGCATGTTCCAATAAACTGCTGTATGCAACTACCTATCTTAGAGTTTGTATGCAAGGAGGCACACTGGAGGCAGGGAAGTGAGTTAGAGACTACTGCTGTAATCTTAACTATGGGTGATCGCAGTGGGAAACTGAGTAGCAAATTTTATTTTCATTAATAAATGTATAATCATCATTCTTAGAATTTCATGGCCTATCTGGAAATCGAATTAACCTAAAAACTACAAGGAGTATTCAAACAAGGATACACAGAACAAAAATAATTCATTTCTAGGGCTGTAGAGCAGATTATAGACAACTAATAAAAACAAGACTATGTTCCACAGTGTGAAAATAAATTTCAGACCACAATCAGTCACACAATCAAAAAGACATGATTATTACTTTATTAAGTTAGCACAGATTGGACTTTTACAAATTATAGAAATGGTCAACAAATAGAATTATCCTATTAGGGGCTGATATTCAGAAAATATATAAGCAATTGTTGGTGTGATAACAGGATAAAATTCTACCCTGTATACCAATACTTCCAGTTTTATCTATCCATTTATAATAATTACTTCTCACTTTTGCTTACTTAGTCATATACAGAGTGATATATATGATCATCAAAAAGGATCCATTTTCAGTGATTTCTCCATCATATTATATGTATTCTCCACTGGAAAATGTACTTTTCCTTAGGTCTTTAAAGTGTGAATATATATATATATAGGCCTGATCTTATTTCTGAAAATGCTTAAATCAATAACTACAAATACCACATGACCACATTTATACACTATATTGTCAGAAAAATATTTTAGAATATTTTGAGTCGTCAATAGCTTATGATTTCAATTGTCTTGGTGGGTATGATTGATTGCTTTTCACTTTCAAGCACATTCAAAATTTATTACAAAAGAAGAATGGTGAAACAAAATATATGATCTGCTCTTGGTATTTCAGGACTCTCAGCAGTCACACAGAAACAAATGTTTTAATTTCTTGAGGAAGCAGAACAATAGCCCTTCAGAGAGGGGTCAGCCTCTCATCCTCTGTCATGAAGGCCTCATTAATGTGCCCTCCCTTCATGTCCAGGGGATCACAGGGGATGCCATTTTCAATTGTGATCATGTTTTCACACTTATCTTCAGTGTCATCCACTCCAGACGGTTCTTTGTTCTTTCTAAAAGCACATAAAAAAGAGTGATTGGCATCCAGAAAGACCATAAGCGTGGCTGCATATGGTCTTCTGTACGAACATGGAGAACAGGAAGGGGAATAGGAAGCTTAGAACAATGAAATAATTAATGAAATTGTGTAATTTTCAAACAAATTTCAAAGACCATAAAGAGTTGGTAAGGTGAAAAGATACTACCAAGATAAGAAGTCTGTATAGATGATATATAATAGTGATCAAAATAAGTGGTCTTATTTAGAATACTAAAATTGATATAGATGAATATGTATATGAATGAATATGAGGATATACACACACACAAATTGCATAAAATAATGTAAAGAAAATGTATGGTAAATTGGCAAGTTTAAAATCCAGCTCTAGGAGAATAACTTAAAAACAACTGAATTGTTAAAAGTAATAAACTCCTCTCATGGGATTGGACAAATTAATGTTCTGAAAATGTTGAGTGAAAATCAAATAGAAATGAGCTATCAGAAAGCAAATTAACATTACTTTGTAGAAAGTAAGTGCTATAAACTTCAGATATTGCTGCTTGGCTCTACTCATTACAAAATAATTGTGTTCATTTGCAAGTCACAATTTTGGAACTCAGAACATATTTCTCCTAATTACAACTCATAGTTATAACTCCAGGTCATTCCAAAAATTCCATATGACAGGATAAATTTTTTAATTTCTCATAGTTTCACTCTTTGTAGACCCTGCTGACCCCAACCCAAGTAGTAGGCAGATCTGTAATACTTCTTTGGAGTGTGGAAAACTGTCGACTCAAATTCAAAAGTTTTTCCTGTGTTTTGCAAAAGACTAAGACAATGAGACAATTATGCTTGATATCATGCAGTAAAAGAAAAAAGAGAGGTGGATGCCTCTGGCAACCAGAAGAAGGAGGGGTTTCCCTAACGCTTATTGTAGGCTGGATGTTGGAGCACCGCTCCATGGTGGCACCACGGAGGCATGATGATAGGCATGAGGCTCCTGGATTTGCAAAGGATTCTCTTGTCCCAGGAATGTGTGGAAATGCCAAAACAGCAGACATGAAAAGATCATCTGGCTGAGATGCTGGGCACTGTAGTGGTGACCAGGGTAGAGTCCCACCACTATGAGAATCCCTCAGGACCTTGGTGAGTCTTTGACAGGTGAGGAGATGGTGAAGCTGCCCCAGTAATGACGGAGGTGGAATTTCCTATTAGTCCTGCATGAGAATGTGCTTTAAAGAATATGGTGAAAGAAAATGGAGGAAAGAGAAAGCTCTTTTTTATAGAAGAATGCCAACGAATATAGAAAGAGTAGTAGGAAAAGAAAATCATCACTATAATAATAACTGATTCTGATGAGGATTATCAATGGATATTAAACCAGTGAAAGATGGTTGGAGAACAGGATATCGCACGGTCTCAAATTATTACCCCCATAAGCAAATACTAATTATAAAAAGACACTTGTATTTTGCCAAAAGAGAAATCTAGTGAAAATTTCCAACAATGAAAGAAACTGACAAGTCTGTCCTGATGTGATACACTGAGCAGATCACATATATGTTTTTGACGTGTTCCAGCCCCACCCCCTCCAATTTGTTTTGACCTGAATCTCATAATGAGGAACCTAATCAGGAAAACCCAAATTTAAAAATGTTTTGCAAAACAGCTGACCTGGACTTAGCACAGAGTAGGCATTCAACTCTAAGGGTGGGTGAATCAATGAATGTAGATTAATGGCTGACTGGCTGGATAATAAATATACAGATGGACAGAAGATGGGTGGGTGGCTGAACAAATGATGAAAGGTAGATGGAGAGATGGAAAAAAGAATTAATCAATGAATGTAGTTCAATGACTGGCTGGATGGATGATAAATTAATGGCTGTCTGAATGGATTGATGGATGGATGGACAGATAATAGATTGAACAATTAGGTTTATGTATGGATGGACTAATGTTGCAGGTAAAGTTACTCAGGCAATAGCCCAAGGTAAACCTTGAATGGGCTTTACCACAAGAAATGAAGGAAGGAAGGAAGGAAATTTTATGCACAAGAAATTTCTTATATGTCTTGTATTTTAAGCTTTGCTGATAGTTTATTAAATAATTTCAAATAGTTGTTCATTTAAAACAAAGGCAAAGTAGCATTCCAATTCTGTAGATCCCAATGTCATCATCTGAAAATATTTTATCATTGTATAGGACACCATCAAATGTCACAATTAGTCACTATAGGCAATCACTGAATTGCAGTTGCCACATTTTAAACATTTATTCATAAAACTTCTGGCCCAATGCTGGGTTGCAAGTCAAGAGTTGTGGTCCGAGAGACCTAGGGAAAGACAGGCTGCTATATTTTTCTATCCTTGGGGTAAAGACACTGCACTGGCCATGGCAAGCATCAGCAATCAGCAATCAGCATGGGTTGGAGTGGATATAGATTTTAATGTGATGAGAGGATCCTCCCAGGCGAAATTATCCACCAGAGAATTAGAACACTTTGGTTTCTCCTCCTGTGGATAAATGTATTGCTACTTCCCACATCCTCCAGAAAGCAAAGGAAAATGACATTCTATAACCATCAATCACATCACTTCCATTCATAGTATCCAATATTGACTAACAACTACATTTTAAGTACCTACTGTGTTTATGGAAGAGATACCGTCCTTGTCCTAAAAATAGCTCAACAAAAAAGAAAACACCATATGTACTCATCCTCCCTCTCCCCATTTTAATGCTTTATAAAAGAGAGGAATGATTCTTCTAAAGATGAATCTGTAAGTAGCAAGTGTCTATTTATAAATTATCATTAAAAATAGCTACCTCATGTGGATTCCCCCCAAATCCCTCCTCACTGGGCTTCGAGTGAATAATAATTTTCCACAACAACAAATAGATTGTAGACAGCCAAGTCTTACCCTGATATTTTTGTATGTTAAGTATGAAACCTGTATTACAAACATTTTAGTAAATGAAGCATTCTGAAGTAGGTGGCAATGCAATAGTAGTCTTAGAAATAATGATTGCCAGGGTCTATTTTCCAGTTTCTTCAGTTAAAAAAAAAATATTTATGGAGTTAGAAGAAAAGTGACAAAGATTACAAGGAATGTCGCTTCCCCCTCCCCACCAACAAGGAAAAATAATTCCTCAGGCATCACAAACGAATGGGGAAAAACTAAAAAGGAAGATGTAAACAAATGAGGACAAGTTTCTCTTCTTTAGAAGAAGAATATCTTAATCAAAAAGATTCCAAGGGGAATTGCTGTGGAAATTTATCAAACTGAGCAGTGTCAGTGGCAAATTAGGTGCATATTGTTCTTCTATAACCTTAGATCCAGTTGTTCAGAGTCCTGGCATTGCTGGGCTTCACAAAACGCAATGTCAGGAACTTGCTGGTTGGTGGACATGGTAAGCAGCCCAAAGGTTATCTAACAGTAATATATCACTTTGTCACATTTCATAGTGTTTGCTGTAATAAACTGACTCACTCACTACCTATGTATTGCTCTTACTAAGAATAATAAAACTTAACTATCTTTCTGGATCATTCTGATTTGATGTTTTGCTAAAAACATGAGTTCTTATTCCTGAAAACTAAAATCGAATGTTAATTACTTCCGCTGTTCCTGCAACGTTAGGAAGTTCAGGAACAGGATGAAAAAACTGTGATTAAAATATCTGGAATGAGCTCCTAGGAGCCTTGAGAGTGAATATCTCTCATATATCTCATAAATTTACAGAGAACAGGGGCAAAAGAGGGAACAAAAGAAGTATTAGGTATGGCCCTCAGAGCTAGGGGATGTTGAGGAACGGGGTTTGCTCTGTTCTGAGATAAAGTAATGGTACCAAAAGCAGAAAGAGTATTTCTGTCCCCCTTCAAACAAAATAGAGCTGACAGCTGGGAGTGGTGGCTCACGCCTGCAATCTCAGCACTTTGGGAGGCCAGGGCGGGCAGATCACCTGAGGTCAGGAGTTCAAGAACAGCCTGGCCAATGTGGTGCAATCCTGGCTCTATCTACTAAAATACAAAAATTAGCCAGGTTTGCTGGCACATGCCTGTAGTCCCGGCTACTGGGGAGGCTGAGGTAGGAGAATTGCTTGAACCCAAGAGGCAGAAGTTGTAGTGAGTGGAGATTGTGCCAATGCACTCCAGCCTGGGCAACAGAGCAAGACTCCGTCTCAAAAAAAAAAAAAAAAAAAAAAAAAAAAGAGCTGAAGAGTCAAGACCCAAGAATAGCCAGAAAGACAATAAAAGACAGACAAATATGATTTTCAAACAGGACAGAATCAATTATTGGGGAATTGGGATTGTCCTCAGAATCTCTCTGGGTGATTCCTGGGGGCAATAGTGTTACTGGAATGATTGAGTGGGCATTGTAGCACAGTGAGATTGATGGACTTTGAAATCAAACCTATCCAGTTTTAAAACCTGTTCCTATTACTTTTTAACCATGTGAATGTAGGCAAGTTGCTTTACATGTGCCATATAATAGCAATGATAATGCTAATGATAATATTAACTATCTATTACATGGTAGAAATCAGACTAGGGTTTTGTATGCATCATCTCACTTAATTCTTACTGTAATATTATGCATATTTTATCATCCCTGTTTTTCAAATCCACTGCCTTAACCACTCAGCCATGACTATGTGCCTCATCCCTGTTTTCAGATGAGGGAACTGACACTCAAATATGTAGAGTAACTTGTCTTTCAGAATGAAACAAGATTGATGAAAGGAGTTGATCTAGAACTCTATGTACTCTCCCCAAACTTTACTCAACACACTTACATTGGATTTTTATCAGGTATGTATATTTAACAACAGCAAAGAAAAACAATTGCTATATTCACTATGACATTTCTCATTTTATTTACATCTCTATTTTTAAGTCTATTTATTCATTTAATTACGACTTCATAAGAATGTGAAGCTTCAGCATATAAATGTATTGACTGAGCCACATCCCCTTGTATGAGAAACAAGATTTGTGGAAAT